TTTATTGGGTGCAAAGTGCAATTCGAATTTCAAAGCAAACCTTTCACTCAATTTCCACTTGAAGTCCACTATGCTCCACAATTCTCTTCCTTGCATGTATTAGTGTAGAAGGTAGAGAATCACCACTCACCCAAATGTGGGTGGGGAGCCTTTCATATATATATAGCCAATAGGCATACATGGAAGTTACATACATGGGAAGCTATTTCCTGTACAAGGAAACTATCCTAGGCTATACATGGCAGCTAGCCTATCTAGGGAAACACCAATCAATCGCTAATTGATGTAGATATATACATATCCTAATACCCGCCCGCAGTCATAGCGGAAGCATCACGGACGCATAGACTGGTCCGAAAATCAGTGAAGAGCTGGACGGGCAGACCCTTGGTCATGATATCTGCGAACTGATGCGCAGATGGGACATGGAGAACACAGAACTGTCCCAAAGCGACCTTTTCGCGGATGAAGTGGATGTCGATCTCGATGTGCTTCGTGCGGCGGTGGTGGACGGGGTTGGCAGCCATGTAGACGGCGCTCACATTGTCACAGTAGACAACCGTTGCAAGCGGGATGGAGATGTGGAGCTCCTGTAAAAGCTGATGCAGCCAGCAGCACTCGGCAACAACATGGGCCACTGCTCGGTACTCTGCTTCGGCACTGGAGCGAGACACGGTCGTCTGACGCTTGGAAGACCAGGACACCAGGTTGTCACCGAGGTAGACGCAGAAGCCAGAGGTAGAACGGCGCGTGTCTGGGCAACCAGCCCAATCGGCGTCGGAGTAGGCTGTGAGCTGGTCAACGGCACCGGAGCCCAAGTGCAGACCGGCGGACAGAGACCCCTTGACATATCGCAGGATGCGCATGATCAGCGCAAGGTGCGGCTCGCGGGGGTCGTGCATGAAGAGGCAGACCTGCTGGACAACATAAGCCAGGTCCAGCCTTGTCAGAGTGAGGTACTAGAGCGCACCAGCAAGGCTCCTGTACTCCGAGGGATTGGCAACTGGGGCGCCCTCTAAGGCGGACAGCTTGGTCCAGGCATCCATAGGAGTAGCTGTCGGATGGCATTCAGACATGCCAGCACGCTGGAGGAGATCAGCAGCGTACAGCCGCTGGGAGAGGAACAGCCCGCTGCTGTCCCGCGTCACCGAGATGCTGAGGAAGTGGTGTAGGTCGCCGAGGTCCGTCATGGCGAACTCCGAGTGAAGGCGTGAAGTGACATGCTAGAGAAGTGCCGGTGATGATGCGGTGACTATGATGTCATCAACGTAGAGGAGGAGGTAGGCCATGTGGTCGCTAGCCTTGTAGACGAACACGGAGGCGTCCGACTTGGAGGTGGTGAAGCCGATGCTGCAGATGAAGTTGGAGAAGCGCTGGTTCCAAGCACGCGGCGCCTGCTTAAGTCCATACAAGGACTTCTACAGCAAACAGACAGAGTTAGGAGCAGCGGGGTCGACGAAGCCTTTCGGTTGCTCGCAGTAGACCGTCTCCTCGAGGTTGCTATGGAGGAAGGCATTCTTCACGTCGAGCTGGCGTATAGGCCAATCTCACGATGCAGAGATGCTGAGGACGGTGTAAATCATGGTCGGCTTGACGACGGGGCTGAATGTCTCATCGTAGTCAACACCGGCCTCCTGGGAGAACCCGCGGACGACCCAGCGTGCCTTGTGCCGGGCGAGGGAGCCGTCGGAGTGGAGCTTGTGCTTGAACAGCCACTTGCCAGTGACGATGTTCGCACCAGGCGGCCGAGGTATGAGGCGCCAAGTGCCATTGTCGATCAGCGCCTTGTACTCTTCCGCCATGGCAGCGCGCCAATTGGGATCGGCGAGTGCACTGCGATAGTTCACCGGGACCGGCGAGGCGACGGAGGCAGAGAAGCCATAGCGCTGGACGGTGCAGAGGCTGCCGGTTTGTGAACGTGTCATAGGCCGGGCCACTGGTACTGTGGGGAGCGCGGCTGGTGGCGCTGCCGGTGCTGCAGCCGCTGGTGGCACAGCAGCAGGGGCCACGGAGGCAGCCGTAGGAGCCACCGGCTTGGTGGCCGGCGCTGCAGGAGTCCGGGCATGGCGAGTGTAGACGACACCTAAGTGCTCATTGGTGTCGGCGAGGAGGAGAGTCCCTGCATCAGAAAATCAAGTGAAGACGGCATGGAAGCCGCCGATGGTGCTGATGAGAACGGAAACACGGACTCGTCGAAAATGACATGGCGAGAGATGATAATGCGACGAGTAGACATGTCGAGGCAGTGGTAGCCCTTATGAGAGGATGGATATCCTAGGAAAACACAAGGTGCGGAGCGAGGGGCGAGTTTGTGTGGGGAGGTGGCAGTGAGGTTTGGATAGCAGAGGCACCCGAAAACGCGAAGTGAGGAGTAATCTGGGATGGTGCCGTGAAGGAGTTGGTGAGGGATTCTGTTGTGGATGGAGGAGGAGGGACGCCTATTGAGGAGGAAGGTGGCTGTGGTGAGAGCCTCAGCCCAATAGGGAGGTGGCATGGACGCATGGAGGAGCATGGTGCGGATGGTGTTGTTGGTGGTGCGGAGCATGCGTTCAGCCTTGATGTTTTGTGGGGAGGTATAGGGGTAGGAGAGGCGGAGCATAATGCCATGGTTGGTGAGGAAAGAGGTGGTGGCGTGGTTAACAAACTCGGTCCCATTATCTGCTTGAAAGGATTTAGGTGTGGTGCCAAACTGTGTCTGAGCGTAGGCAATGAACTCGACAATGTGGCGGTGCACCTCGGATTTTTGGCGAAGTGGAAAGGACCAGCAGTAATGAGAGAAATCATCTACTAAAACAAGATAATATTTGAATCTAGAGTTGCTAAGCACGGGAGATGTCCACACATCACAATGAACTAAATCAAACGGAGCATTGGTTACAGAGGTGGAGTGACTGAATGGGAGTCGCACGTGCTTGCCAAGTTGACAGGCATGGCATAGGCATGGCGAGCTCTTATTGTAGGAGATGACCGACATGCTCCGGAGAGTGGCGAGGCTGGTTGGACTGGGGTGGCCGAGGCGGTGGTGCCACAGAGACGATGTGGTGGCGAGGCTGCAGGAGTGAGCTGGTGTGGAGGGGAAGGTGTAGAAGTCGCCACCACTATTGCAGCGAAGAGTCACGCGCCTCGTCTGTTGGTCCTTGACAGAAAAGCCACAAGCGTCAAATTCAATTGAGCAAGCGTTGTCACAAGTGAATTGACGGACAGAAAGAAGGTTGCGCACTAAATCAGGAGCAACCAGAACATTGTTAAGGTGAAAAACAGAATTAGGAAAAGACAGTGTGGATGTGCCATGGCATGTGATAGGAATTGTAGTGGCGTTGCCAACCGTGATGCCGGAAGAGGGTGGGGGAAGACAGGACAGGAGTATACCATCCGAGGACGACATGTGGGCAGTGGCACCGGTGTCGAGGACCCAGGGGGAAGACCCCTAGAGGGACATCTAGTTCAGGGCGGCAATGAGGCCGGCCTGATCCCAGCCACCATGCTGCTGTGGGGGTGGAGGAGAGGCGTCGGAGAACTGGGCGGGGGCGAACGTTGTGCGCGCCTGGGCTGAAGGAAAGGCGCCGAGGACCCTAGGGCCACGCCAGGCTGGGTTCGGCATCGGCAGACGCCAGGTATGCTGTTGCGCCCCGCCCGTCTAGGGTTGCTGCTGTGCTCCGGCCGTCCAAGGAGCATAGCAAGATTACCAAGGGCACCATTGGGCGAGTAGAGGACTTCGCCGCCCCGTAAAATGAAGCCGCCCCGCCCTTCTTCTTCTTCAATGACGCCGCCGCCGCTGCTGCCGCCGCCGCCGCCGCCGTAGCCACTGCCAGAGCCGCTGCTGTGGTTGCCCTGGCGACCAGCGGTGTAGCCACTGCCCGTGTTGCCGGAGGTGACGCGGCAGCCTGTGCCGCACGAGGCATGGAACGCCGTCTGGGCAGCGACGGAGCCCTCGTTGGCGAGGCGGAGCTCCTTCAACACGAGCTTCTCATGGGTGGTGGTGAAGTCCGGCAGCGGGTGGGAATCGGCGATGTTGTCGGCGGTGCTGGCAAAGCGGGGATTGAGGCTGAGGAAGAAGTTGAGGACGAGCTCCGAGTCGGTGATGGTGCGGCCGACATCGTGCAGAGCATCGGTTGTGGCCTTCATCCGCTGGGCGTAGTCGTTGATGGAGGAATCGCCCTGGGTCATGGAGTGGAACTCGTGACCCTGGAAGATGGCGCGCGGAGCCTTGTTGGCCTCGAAGAGGCGCCTGATGTCAACCCAGAGCTCGCGCGCAGTCTGATTCGGTGCCGCAGCAAGGCCGATGACGTCCATCCCGGCAGAGCCGAGGAGCCAGCTGCGGACGCAGGCGTCGACAATGGCCCAAGCAGGGTCAGTGGGGCGGGCCTCCGCCGTGCCGTCGACGTGCGGAAGGAGACCGAATTTCCCGCAGAGAGAGGTGAAAAACAGCTCCCACTGGTTGAAGTTGGGCTTCGTCAGTTCTAGGGTCACCGGGATGTGGTTCTTGACATTGATCGTCGCGTAGGGGGCGACGAAGATGGCTGGGGCAGGGATGGAGCCCATAGCAGCCGAGGTCTTTGGAGGGTGTGGTGGAGCTGGTGTGAGTGAGGAGGTCGACATGGGTGACACTGGGAGGGGAGCAACGCAGCAGGGGGGGGCTGTGCGGTGGGAGGGAGGGAGAAGGAGGATCAAAAAGCCTGATACCATGTAGAAGGTAGAGAATCACCACTCACCCAAATATGGGTGGGGAGCCTTTCATATATATATATATATATATAGCCAATAGGCATACATGGAAGTTACATACATGGGAAGCTATTTCCTATACAAGAAAACTATCCTAGGCTATACATGGCAGCTAGCCTATCTAGGGAAACACCAATCAATCGCTAATTGATGTAGATATATACATATCCTAATAATTAGCCCTTTGGTAGTGGTAGAGGTTGTTTCCTTACAGAAATTTGTTGGCACACTAGCATCATTTTGGCGATTTCCCTTATATATGCACTAATCTAACCTCATGGGGAGTCGGGGACCATGATCAGCTTGGTTCTTGGTGTAGCATAGAACCTGATCATGTATTGTAGACAAGTGCAGAGTTCTATTCAGTTTGTGCTATGCTATATCTGTTGCTTATTGTTAACAGGAAGTCTGTATGTTCCTAAATTTAGGATGTTGTGGAACTTAACCAATAACCAGACAACAACCCAACGGCTATTGAAGTGAAATTTGAACAGTTGTCGGCATAATTCAAGTTAAGGTTCATGTCTGAAAACTGTTGGTTCACACTTGATCAGGGATGAGGTAAAACAGAAATTAAACTTGGTCAACGGTGAAGAATTCTGAGACATCGGTTGAAACAATTAGCGCTTGCATATTTTGCAGTAGTGGAGCTCCTTGGACATAGGGGATGCGCATGAGTAGCAGAAGCAATATCCACACCTAAAAAACCCAATCCAAGAATCTTATGTAAGAAATCGTTGAGCAAAATTTCACAATTTTCAGAAAGAGGAAAGGCTAGCACATACCTGCACTTGATAAACATACATCCCTCAGACTTCTCCACGTACATCCTGCACTGGGGGCACCGCTGCCACCTCTGTTCGCCAGCGAGCCGCCTCACCATCACGTCCTCCCGGCCCCGCTCGTCTTCCCTGAGCCCCTGAAACTCCTCGCAGCCGATGCCGTCGTGCCATGGCACCATGCACTGGGCGCAGAACAGCCGGTGGCAGTGCGGGCACTCGGCTTCCACGATGGCACCGTTGCCGTTGCCGTCCTCGACTACAAGCCCTGCGGAGCAGTCTCTGAACGGGCAGTAGAGCCTCTGCTCGCCGAGCGTCAGCTCGCACAGCGCAACATCCCACCTGCTAAACAGCTCCGAGGGGATGACGCCGCAGCAGTCCGCCAGCTCGATCGTGCCGTCTCCGCAGCTGGGCTCGGGGCATTTGACGTGGACAACGTTCTCACCGATCTTGGTAGCGATATACTGGCCGATGCAGGTCAGGCAGAAGTTGTGGCCACATGAGCTGACGCCGAACTTGCGACTGCTGGGCATGCTTTCCATGCAAATCGGGCAGTAGAATTCATCACCCGGTGGTGGAATCGACGATGATGATTGCCCTGCATCAGCAGAGGTGGAGGGCCTTTCTGATGCTTCTGTCATGTGATCTTGCATGAACAAATCGTCGAGCAGGGAATCAACTGATGTGTCCTGTATGACCATTTCTTGGAAGGCAGAGAACAGAATGACTTCCTGCAGTTGTAATTCCTCAGCCAGTGCATCCCCAACAGGAGACACCCTCTCCAACGCCATCGTGGCACCGTCTTCGTCGATGATAGCAGAGCTGATCTATTTCCTCTCTATCCCTTTGGTGTGGTTTTTTCTGGTTGGACGGACTGATGTTTTTGAATGTCACGAGAATCAACTGTTTATGAGTTGCCAGGTGAAGGCTTATTATATATATATAAATGATCAGGGAATCGGTCTCCTGGACTTTATAAAAAGCATGGAAAGAAGATTATAATAAAATTCCGGGCAGCAGCAGGTATCTTGAACGAAAATAAAAACGCGCAATGTTGTTGTCTAGTTGTGTTGACTCAACTTGTTGAAGTCTTGTACGCGTAACGTGCGGATGGAATCAGGTGTTGTTCTATTGTTTGCAGGCAAGAAATAAAGGAGTTGCGAGGTGCAGACTTATGATTACAAATCAACCGCCCGAAATCTATAAAATTAAGGTAAAGAAAGTTCTATTATATACAAAATTGAAGGCAACGTTTTTGTTTACATGGAAGATAATGTATACATGTTGTCTGTCAATGTCTTGACATGACCTGTTGTAGTTGTACATGCAATTTGCAGCAGGAACCAAGAAATTTCCTTATACTACTACGTAATGAGTCGATCCGTGCAGATTATATTGGAAATATCTAAGCCATCATCAGTGCTCAAGTTGTATGGCAATTGCATGGAAAAGTATAGCAATGGAACTGCTTGACTCAGATTGCTAGGTCTTCGCGTCAGAACCACACCTTTATTATAAGCATGCAGGAAGCGCTATTAGTATCGGATTCATCCTATTAAAAAATTAGAACAAACAGAAGTATAGGATACCAGTTTCTAACTTGTCACGCAGGCCCTTGGTCCCTGGCTGTCCAGCACACACACACACTTACTATAGCTAGAGATAGAAGAAGAGATTGAGAACAGCGTGCACACACACTCAGCACAAGTCCCAGCGTTGGCTGAACCCCTGCCTTTGGTGTGTGGCAACTGAACTGAGTATTCCATTACTCTTTGGATGGAATATATACAACTCTATCTGTAACTCTACCAGGTACATAGTTCTTGGCCAACTACCTACTCCTGAGTATAAGAGTACACTAACTACCTACTCCTAAGGTACATGGTACACCAACTTCCTACTCCTAAGGTACAGAGTATATCAACTACTCCTAGCAGTACAAAGCTTACCTCACCCCACTACCAGAACATGGCTAATGTAATAGCTACCAACTAATATACTAGCTACAGCTACAGGAACTGGTCGGCAGAGCCGATCAGTCCCCAACTCCCGACAGGGAGTGGTCGGCCGAGCCGACCAGTCTCCAACCAAGGAGAGAATGGGGAGCAGCAGATTATGTCTAACAATTCTTCCCCTAATCCTGCTGCTAGCCCGATGCCTTGACCTCATCCATGCCAATCATCTTTCTCAGCTCCATGAACCGCAGGCGTCCAAGTGACTTGGTTAGGAAGTCAGTGAGCTGTCCGGTCTCAACAAACTCGATGACGATCTGCCCTCCATCGATGCAGTCCCGGAGAAAGTGGAACTTAATGTTGATGTGCTTGCTCCGGTCGTGGAGGACAGGGTTCTTTGCGAGGGCGATGGCGGGTTGGTTGTCCACCATCAATGCTAGCGGGTGAGCTTCCTCGCCGGTCAGCTCACCCAGCACCCGACGTAGCCATACAGCCTGGCACGCCGTCGTGGCCGCTTCAACAAGTTGAGTCAAGACAACTAGACAACAACATTGCGAGGTGCAGACTTATGATTACAAATCAACCGCCCGAAATCTATAAAATTAAGGTAAAGAAAGTTCTATTATATACAAAATAGAAGGCAACGTTTTTGTTTACATGGAAGATAATGTATACATGTTGTCTGTCAATGTCTTGACATGACCTGTTGTAGTTGTACATGCAATTTGCAGCAGGAACCAAGAAACTTCCTTATACTACTACGTAATGAGTCGATCCGTGCAGATTATATTGGAAATATCTAAGCCATCATCAGTGCTCAAGTTGTATGGCAATTGCATGGAAAAGTATAGCAATGGAACTGCTTGACTCAGATTGCTAGGTCTTCGCGTCAGAACCACACCTTTATTATAAGCATGCAGGAAGCGCTTATTAGTATCGGATTCATCCTATTAAAAAATTAGAACAAACAGAAGTATAGGATACCAGTTTCTAACTTGTCACGCAGGCCCTTGGTCCCTGGCTGCATAGGTAAGCAACTAGCTTACCAACACATATTTACTATAGCTAGAGGTAGAAGAAGAGATTGAGAACAGCGCACACACACTCAGCACAAGCCCCAGTGTTGGCCGAAACCCTGTCCTTGGTTTGTGGCAACTGAACTGAGTATTCCATTGCCCTTTGGATGTAATATATACAACTCTAGCTGTACCTCTACCAGGTCCATAGTTGTTGGCCAACTACCTACTCCTGAGTACAAAAGTACACTAACTACCTACTCCTAAGGTGTAGGGTACACCAACTACCTACTTTTAAGGTACAGAGTATATCAACTACTACTAGCAGTACAAAGCTTACCTCAGCACACTACCAGAACATGGCTGATGTAATAGCTACCAACTAATATACTAGCTACAGCTACAGGAACTGGTCGGCAGAGCCGATCAGTCCCCAGCTCCCAACAGAGAGTGGTCGGCCGAGCCAACCAGTCTCCAACCAAGGAGAGAATGGGGAGCAGCAGATTATGTCTAACAATTCTTTCCCTAATCCTGCTGCTAGCCCGATGCCTTGACTTCATCCATGCCAATCATCTTCCTCAGCTCCATGAACCGCAGGCGTCCAAGTGACTTGGTGAGGTTGTTAGCGAGCTGTCTGCCGGTCTCGACAAAAGCGATGACGATCTGCCCTCCATCGATGTAGTCCCGGAGGAAGTGGAACTTAATGTCGATGTGCTTGCTCCGGTCGTGGAGGACAGGGTTCTTGGCGACGGCGATGGTGGGTTGGTTGTCCACCATCAATGCTGGTGGGAGAGCTTCCTCGCCGGTCAGCTCGCCCAGCAGCCGGCGCAGCCATACAGCCTAGCACGCTGCCGTGGCTGCTGTGACGTACTCCGCCTCACACGTCGATAGCGCCACGATCTTTTGCTTCAGCGACTGCCAAGCAATGGGGGCCGCTCCAAAGAAGATGAGCACGCCGGAGGTGCTTCGTCGCCCATCAATGTCACCCGCCATGTCCACATCGCTGAAAACAGTGAGCTCCGGCTCACCTTCCTTTGCTTTGGGGGTGCCTCACTGAACACCGTGAGCCACAACCCTCCCTTGCCGCTACTCTTAGGGAAGATAATCGCTTGATCTAGCATCCCCTTGACGTAGCGCAGCAACCTTTTCACTGTCGACCAGTGATCTTCGCACGGGTCCTCCATGAAACGGCTGACGTACCCAACCGCGAACGCAATGTCCGGTCGGGTATGAGTGAGGTAGCGCAGCCCGCCGATGATACTCCGGTAGCGCGCCGCGTCCACCTTTGCAGCAGTGCTGTGCTTGCTCAGCTTCAGCCGCTCCTCCATCGAAGTCGCGTACGGCTTGCACTCCGCCATGCCACCGCGCTCCAGCAGCTTCTCCGCGTAGGCGCACTGACCTAGGGAGATGCTCTGCTTCCCCTACCTCACCTCGATGCCGAGGTAGTAGGAGAGTGCGCCGAGATTGCTTATCTTGAAATAGGCCGCCATCTCACGCTTGAAACCATCGATGTCCTCTGCTCATGCTCCTGTGACAATTAAGTCATCCACATACACGCCGACGACGAGCTCCTCCTTCCCCCATTGCCGCGTGTAGAGCGCGTGCTCTGTAGCATAGCGAGTGTACCCAAGCTCGCCCAAGGTGGCGTCGAGCTTGGCATTCCATGTCCGAGGGGCCTGTCGTAGCTCATAGAGCACCTTGCGCAGCTTGAGCACCATGTGCTCAGCGCCCTTGACGGTGAAGCCCGAAGGTTGCTTGACAAAGACCGTCTCTATGAGCTCGCCATTGAGGAACGCAGACATGGCATCGAGGTGGTGGATCCTTCACTGCTGCCATGGCCAATAGCAAATGAACGGACTCCATTCGCGTGCCACCAGAGCAAAGACTTCCTCGAAGTCGATGCCCTCACGCTGCACAAAGCCACGGGCGATGAGCCGAGCCTTGTACTTGACAATGATGCCGCGCTCGTCGCTTCACCTTGTAGACCCACTTCAAGTCGATCGGCCTATAGCCCACCGGTGGATCTACTAGCTCCCATGTGCCATTGTCCTCGATGGCTTTCATCTCTTCCAACATTGCCTGTCGCCAATTGGCATCGCGTTCATCCACTGCGAACGTCGGTGGCTCCTCGACACTAACAAGGAGCAGCTCTGGTTCGTCGAGCAGTCGACTTGCTAGGCCAATGGCCCCTGCATTGCCAATGATGTTGTCCAGCCTGCGGAACCAGACCTCCTCGCCGTCGTGGAAGGCATCCACGAACTCACTAATGTCGCTCGGAGGGGAGGTGAACTCAATTGGTGGTCCCCGGCTTCCCTGTTCTACCGGAGTGGTCGGCATCACTGCTGGACCACTCGGCACCACTGCTGGAGTGGTCGGATCCACTGCTGGAGCAGTCGGCATCACTCTTGGAGTGGTCGACTCCACTGCTGGAGCGCTCTGCACTTCTGCTGAAGTGCTTGACACCCCTCTCGGAGTGCTCACCATTGCCCTAGGAGTGCTCGGCTCTGTTGCTGGAGTGGTCGGCACCTCCTCTCTAGTGTCTCCACCACCGTGGATGACCATGTGCTCGACGACGATGGTGCTGGTGAAGCCACCAGCTTCCCCCATGCCCGGACTATCCTAGTCACAGGCCGCCTTCTCATCGAACACCACATCCCTAGAGATCACCACCTTTCCTCTCTTGGGATCATAAAGCTGATAGGCCTTGCTGCCCTCCTCGTAGCCCAGGAGCACCATTGGCATGCTCCTGTCTTCCAGCTTGACGAGGTGAGGCTTGGTGTTCTTCACAAGGCTGACGCAGCCAAATGTCCTGAGGAAGGACAC